ACCCCCCCCCCCCCCCCCCCCAAAGAACAAACAAACAAATAAAACAAATAAAACCAACCAGTCAGTGATCTAACCAACCAATCAACCAACTAAACAAACAAACAAACAAATAAGCAAACAAACGATTGCGCTCTAAACAAATTTTTGAGCAGATCTAGTAGATAATAGCAGACAAAAATGTAAAAAATATGCATCTTTAATCTTTCTCCACTCTTTCTGAACAAAACAAATTATACTCACACACACACACACACACACAGTCAGGCCTACAAGGACAGAATGGGACCATTGATTACGAAATCTCCACGAGCCAAACCTGATCCGACAGGCAATAATTGGTCGCTTTTAAGGACAAGCGGGCTAACCCACATTTCGGAGGTTTGGGGAAATTTTGACCAACACCAAAAGTGGGCATTGCCCTACCTATAGGAGAAATTTGGTTTTATTGGTGTGTGTTTTTGTTTGGTTATAGAGAAAACTCTCCTTGTCTTTTAAAGAAAGTGAACAAGGGTCCAAAAACTTAACCTTCGATTTTCTCAAAACAGCATCTTTCGGGATAGCCCTCTTGTGCTTAACCCTACCCAACGTCGTGTTTTACTATCATATACATATGATGTGGGGAACTCTGTGCCACCACTTTCAAAGAGGAAATTTACTCGTTAATCTGATCCGTACACTTTGCATAGCAGTGTGTCAAAATGATTTTTTGAGAAATACTGAACGTTTCTAAGAGATCTTTGCACTAGAGGTATTCTAACATTGGAAGAATACAACCCCGGGTGGACAAAATGACCCCAGGGCGTACGGATAGCGACCTATTTACGAAATCTCCGCGAGCCAAACCTGAGCCGACAGACAATTATTCCAGTTTACCTTGACCGTTTGGCCTCGTACTCCATAAGCCTGGACATATTTGGCGCCCACGGGTGCACGAACGGCGAGTAGTCGGACGCCACGGAGATGGATGCCGTGACGTTAGTTTTGACGTCATGGTCGCCGGCTGGTAACGGAATGAAGACGTGGAAAGATCCGTTCAGGGACACGGCGCTAGTGATCATCGTGGCTGAGCTTTGTTCTTGTACATCATGTAGTAGACATCAGCTACCGTGGGGAATGTTTGCTCGGTAGGGCGCGACCTGAAAAGAAGACGTATTATACTAATAAAACAAATGGTAATGATAATGATGATAATGATAATGATGACGAGGATGATAATATAATAATAATGCTATTAATAATCATGATAATAATGATAATAATGGTGACGACAACAAATTAAGAAGAAGAAGAGGAAGAAGAAGAGGAAGAAGAAGAGGAAGAAGAAAAAGAAGAAGAAGAAGAAGTAAAAAATCATGATGATGATGATAATGATAATAATAATAGTAATAATAA